ACAGCACTAACATCAGCTGAAACTGAGACCCTATTTTCTAAACAGAAACTCAGGAGCTGTGGTCCAACCCAGCAATATACAAATGTACCTACTTATTGGATGGTTATGAGTTTTAGTAATGAGTATATCTAAAGTATGAGAACAGAGTCTAACATGCATAAGCAATGCATCAATGTTTTGGAAAAGAACAATAATGAGGTGAGTGCATTAATGCACCAAGTGCTAGGCGTGCTCAGAAGATGGAATAATTGATTCTGGATGGGGGAGTCAGGTAAGGTCAAAAGAAGGTGATACTTGTTCTGAATCTTAAGTTTTGCCAGAAGGAGCAGTCCGAGAGGTTTCTGGATTAGGAAACAACACTGGCAAAGTTCTTACACAGTATATTTTCTGATTTGAGATTGATTCATAGTAAAATCTCAGTAAATTATCAATACCGAATGAAGCTTAGCAGAACATTTCACTAAAAATCTATAGCAAAAAGTACAAAATTACAAGACACCAGGACAGTGAAGAGCTGATAAATTAACAACAGGCTGGAAGGTGAGGGAGGTCTGATGTGTAGCATCTGCCCATTTCTGGGATATAAATCTTTCCAACATAGTTGATTTGAAGCTCCAGTAGTAGTCCCCCTCTCACATACAGTCATGCGTGTATTCAGTCATGTGCTGCTTACAGACAGGGATAAGTTCTGAGAACTGCTTCATTAGGCAATTTAATCATAGTGTGAACATCAAAGAGTGCACCTACCCCAACTTAGATGGCAGAGCTTATTGCACATCGAGGCTATACAGTGTAGCCTATTGCTCCTGTATAGCATATTACTGCACTGCATACTGTAAGCAATTATAACCCAATGGTAAGTATTCGTGCACCTAAACATAGAATAGGTACAGTAAAAATATGGTATTAGAATCTTATGGGACCACTCTCCTATATACAATCCATTTTTTACTGAAATGTCGTTAGCTGGCCCATGTCTGCACTACGTTTCTTCCATCTGATGACTGCAAAAGCTGCTAAGTGACTAAGGGGAGGGGAACATCTATCCTGCAGACAGGCTGGACAAAGGGAGGATGCACATTGCCAGCAGGATGGCGAGGGATGACACGAGATTTCATCACACTACTCAGAATGGTGGGCAATTTAAAACTCATGAATCATTTATTTCTGGAATTTTCCATTTCATATTTTCAGACCACAGGTAACTGAAACCATGGAAAATGAACCTGTGGATAAGGAGGGACTGTGCAGGTGATATCAATGGACTCACGAAATCCCTGAAAATTGAACAATTGGCTCTCAGAAGCCAGTGCACCAGGGATGTCAGGAGCACCCAGGGAGATACACCATGTGGGTGTCCCGGGACAGTGGCGAGGACCGCTCCAGCACCCTGTTCAGAGCACACCTGGGGCCAGAGTCTTTGGAAGTGGCTGGAACTTCCTACTGACTAAACTTTATGCTTCTGAATCAGGCATGGGTTTTATTTGCAAGAAATAGAATCCACTCTGACTATTTTAATCAAGAAGGCGATATTTTTAATTTTATTTTATGAAAGTCTATTAGCTGTCAGAATATTTCAAGTGATTAGCAGACAGAGGTTATGCTTCCAGCAGCAACGTCCAAAATCAGGGTGAGAACAGCAGCACAGCTGCTGGGTACTAAATGGCAGGGTCCTTGTAGCAGGGCCTGCCACTGCTCCTTCTGCCCGCACTGTGTGGCTTCTGCATCAGAATTGCACTTACCCCTCCTGCAAAACTGCTGCTTCCACAGAATGCCGGACTCCACTGCAGCTAAAATGAAAGGCCCACACCGAGCCGGTTGTTCCTGTGGTCCCTGGGCTCCAAAGGGAGCCCAGGGACCACAAGCTCTCTGGGAGCTTGTGGTTGGCTGGACACAGGCCTGCTGCCTGCCTCCTAGTTGCATGGAGATCTGGGTTTGAACTCAGTGTGGCCACTGGGGCAATAAGATTCATAACACTAACATTTTCCAAATACAGCAAGATAGTTTAAAAGTTGGAGGGCAAGTACCATTGACAGCATCCACTGTGATTAGCTTTAGGCCCTCTGCCTTGTACAGAGGTTCCCCTAGAACCCTCTTTCTACAAATAAAAATGTCACCTGTTAGGGGAGAAATATATTACACATTATGCCTAAGTTCTTGCCCCACCGTTTCTGCATAATCAACAAAATACTTATCACAGTTTCTAACGTTGTGGAGTAAACACAGCCGAGCTTGGAATCAGACAGACCCTATAGCCAGCTTTCTCTGTGCCTCAGTTTTGTCAACTGTAAAATGAGGATAATAATAATACTCTACCCCGGCGGTTGTGGTGAGGAGCCAATGAACTCTGCTAGGTGAATAAACTGGTGGTGCTCAGAATGTGCTAAAACTTTTTACGAGGGGCAGGGCAGTGTGGCGTAGTAGAAAGAGTGTGACTTTTGGAGTCAGACAGACCGAGTGATGGATAGGACTTAAGCCTCTGTTTTCTCATCTCTAAAATAAAGATGATGAGAATAACAATGCCTGTCTTACAGGGTTGTTGTGAAGATTAAAAATAATGTAACCTGTCTAGCACAGATCTGGCTTATACTAATTGCTCAATGAATGAGAGTCATTGATTAATATTATTGCAATTATTTATGCCATTATACAGCCTGGCCTAAGACAGAATGTCAGCTATGCCCAGCTTGGTTGGCCACTCTGAAGGCATCTTAAGAACTTAAGAAACTGCAAAGAGTTCTGTTTTTTGTGTGTGTGGTTATCATTTATTTCACATATTCTGGCATATGTAGCACATCCATTATCTCGTTTGCACCCCATGCCAGTCTTATGAGGCAAGCACAGCAACCTTTAAGATAAGCATTGCTGCACTGCTCTGCGTTGCTGTCAAAAGAGTCTATTAAGTGATGGTCTAGGTCACCCAGCAAATTAGTGACAAAGCCGAGGCCAAAATGGAGGACATCCGGTTTCATGTGGAATGTTCCTCCCACCATCTCGTGCTGTGTCTTCATTAGTTTGTTCTTGCATTTACTCAACAAATGTTTATTTATTATACTTTGTGTGTCAGTCCCTATGCTAAATAAGTTCTGCTGATTCAAAGACGAATATAAGAGCTTGCCCTCTAACCAAAATAATTTAAGAAAAAAAAAAAAAAAGAAAAAGAAAACAAAACATTCCACCCACCCCGCTCCCAGGGAGTTTAATAGAAAATACTTTTTCCAATGATGTGACTTTAAATATTTTAAGAATTGTATTTGCAAATAGGATGATCAAATTTAAAATAGGGCTACTTTCACTTGAGTCATCACATATAAAATTAATATAATAACATGAAAAACTAATATTAAAATCATTAAAGTGAATTTTCTAAAAGCATTACTTTTTAACTTATTAACAGTCATTTCATTTTTCAAATGAACTTTACCAGCCACTGAATAAGATAATAAGACCAGCCAGTTTGCCAAGAGAAATCTAAATTTGATGCCAACACATATCATTTACAATACCCTAATTCAAAAAGAATTCTTAACTTTCTTTGGGTTTAGGTCTTCTTAGACAACGTTCCCTCTAGCTTTGCTTTGACCCCAGTTACTGTGAGAAGGAGATATAAAACACTGTGGGTTCCAGAATGTTCTGTCCTTGGAAGATCTCCATTTGAAGTTTTTGGCCAAATGTCCAATTAATTCCCCTATGACTAAGGCACTTTGGGGTCAGCAGAACTTGGGGTCTACAGGGATTACAGAAAAAGGACTGGGTGCAGAGTTCACACTAAGGCTACATGTTTCAAAAACCTGGGATAAAGCCAGACCCTGCTACAGGGATTTGGAAGGAAATTAGCTCAGAGATGCTTTCCCTAATAAAATTTTCTGAAGTTAATATTGTTGTCCTTTTATCACCAATAATAATAGTAACTACCACTTAATGAGAGATGAGTATTTGCCAAGCACTTTACAAACACTATTTCTAATCTTTATAAATAATAAAACTGCAAGGTATTATAATTCCTCTTTTATAATGACACAATTGCAGATGATTTAAGTAATTTTTCTAAGGTCACATAATAAGAGGCAGAGGTGGAATTTGAAATCAAGACTGATCTTACTCCTCTTTTGTCTACACCTCTGCTACTTCACCCAACATCTTCCCCCAAAGCAGCAAGACTAGCCCTCAAGTATGTATGTCTTCACAGGGAGCTTCAATTGTTGATCTAAACATATTTACTTATTACCACCTACAGACCCAGCACTGTATTGGCACTGAGGAATCCTAAAGGAGGATTCTGGGTTTTGGCTCACTCCTTGACTTGCCAAAAATTTGCCTCTTTGGACCCTGTTTCCACATTTGCCAATGATCTATTTCTCTGACCACTAGACATTAGACAAAAATTAGCTCCTTTCTGAGGCTTATAGAGAGATAAATGAAATATTTTGTTCAGTCAAAAATCACGACTATATAAATAACCATTTTTAATCTCATAGATCTTAAACAAGATAAATCATGTCACAGTGAAAGTTCAAAGAGTGTCTGACCAAGAAACTTGAGCTAATGCATGTGCATTATATTTGTAAAGAAATACCAAACCCTCTCCTACTTTAAAAGTAACATTGCAAAGATTGCTCTTGGATTTCCTGTGAAGAACTGCCTGAGACTCCTGGCTAGAATTAGCTGCAGATTCATAGTACCATGAGTAGGGCAGTTGAATTGTGTTGTTCAGTGATCATCAAATCAAAGAAGAGGACAATATGGTGAGGGGAGTATTTGAAAAAGCACATTCAATATTATAATACAGTGTTATACTTAGAAAATGAAATGCATTGCTTGCATAGTGCGGACTTTGAAAGCAAAGCTTGATAATAACATCTTTGCTAGTAGGGCATTACCGTAAACAATGTGGGTTGAGCAATGCTCCTCCACATGTATGTGAATTGATCGGGAAAACATGCACTTACCCCTCAGCCTTGATTCTATAACCAAGCTCTCAAATCCATGCAAAAACTTACTCTGTTTGCAAAACTCCAAGTCTTCATTTTAGTCACTGGGATTTCAGATGTTCGTTTGGTTTTGTTTGTTTCATTCTTTATCTTCCTCACTTGAGAGACAAATAAATGACCTGGGAGGGAGAAAAACAGGATAAATTATGGTCTAATGTGTTGCTGAAAATTCTACACATCCATCTGGATCCCACTCAACTCAGGAGACAAAGAGGATAGGGCATGCCCACTTGATGAAGCAAGAGGGTCAGGTGAGTCTACCTCTGATTTTGTGTAATTGGAAGCAGGTCCTGGCCATGAACTACACTGAGTCAAGGTGTGTGTGCTTTCCTCCCCGCCCCGCTCCATCCTTCCTCAGCACTGGGGAAGGGCGTTTCAATTGGCTAACTCATCACCTAAAAAAATTCTTATTCACCAGCTAGTTAACAGAAGAGCCTCAGGGGAGTTAGGATACATCAGTACTTCACAATTAGTTTGTGGAAATAATAGCAAAAAATCAGTAATTTGCTAAAACAAAGGAAGGAAGTGAGGGAGGGAAGAAAGGCCACATGGCTAGCGAGGTATGTAAATCTATCTTCCTGATGGCAATGAGGAATGAGCAGGGTTCAGACCAGCAAAAGAATATTATGAGTGATCAAAAGTTAAGGTAGGTCACATGGAGGTAGGTGAGGAGCCTTGGATCCAGGCCTTGTGTTTAGGAGGAGAATCAATACTTGACATTTTTAACCAAGTGTTCGCTTGTTAGATAATTCAAATAAATCATCATATTTGTGATTCCTTTTGACAATTTCTTTTTAATCCTTTAATATATCAGGATCACTCAGAGGCCCTGGTTAAGGCCATTAAGGTGGAAGATGAGGGTACAATGGTGCCAAACAAACGTAGACCACACAGAAAATAGGAAGCAGATCCTGATCCCAGAAGGAAAATGGCCCATTGACACCTGCATAATTTTAAGCAAGACTCTCTTGTTTTATGAGTTTTATATATCATGAATCTGCCCAAGATTTCATTTGAAAAAATATTTCCACAGCTGAAAAAAATAAGTTTAAAAAGACTAGATAAATATCATTATAACAAAAATCTTCCTCCTGAGAACTATTTTTTAAACTGCATAAAACATTAAAACAAAACACTCTGTTAAAAGTATTAATGCACAACTAAACAGTAAGAAATTCCTGGGACAACACCTAGGAAAAGGCAGAACCCAGAGGAACAAGCCTAACATTCAAAATTGCTTTATCTTAAGAGCATTTGCTGGTATAAAGTAAAAGCTATAAATCAGAACAGCAGTTGTGGTGGACTTGTGGGTGGGGTAAGTCCAAGTGCACCTACCTCTTTAACTGGGCCCCTGAAAATCAACCAGCCTTCCTGCAGATTTATAGCCTGGGTTTATATCCTTTGGGTGGTCTAGGGAACCTCTAAAAGAAAGTTACCGCATCCAAATCCCAATTCTCGAATTGTTGCTACAAATAATTTCTACTATGCAATAACCAGGACTGATTTATGACAATAAAAGAAATGATAGTGGTGGCCAGAAAGGGGATGGTGGCATATTCACTAGGAAGGGCACAAGGAATTCTTTAAAGAATTGGATATTTTCTAAATCTTGATCTGCGTGGTTGTTACATGAATATACATTGAGCTATACATTTAAGATTTGTACACTTTCATGTACATATATTACACATAGATTTTTTAAATGTTTTTAAAGTAAAATGATTAGCACAGTCAAAGACAGGCACACAAAAAAACAAAAATCCATGTGCACGAACCAGAAGAAACTATAGAGAGTAGATACAAATCAAATGGACTTCAGATAGTGACTATAAAACAACTGTTTACTACTTTTAAATAAATAAAGGTAAACTTAAAAATATTTAAGAGAATAGGAAACGTTAATAAATGGCATCACCAATTTGGAAAACAAACTTTTAAAACCAGAAAATTTAACAATCAAAATTAAATGAACAAGTTTAGCAGCACATTGCACATGGCAAAAGAGAGAAAGAGTAAACTGGAAGGTAAAGCAGAAGAAACAATCCAGGTGCTTTCTTGGCCCACAACTGAACCATTTAAACTGCCACATGTCAAAGGCAGATAGGAAACTCAATCCTAACATTCAAGTACCTTGCCCTACCACAATTTATCTTATTCCAACTATATGAAAGTGCTTTGGGAAGCCACCTAATCAAAAACAATTTAAATTTTGCAAGTGGCTGGGCACAGAGGCTCATGCTATAATCCTAGCACTTTGGGAGGCCAAGGCCAAGGCAGGAGGATGGCTTGAGTGCAGGAGTTCAAGATCAGCGGGCAACATAGTGAGATCTTGTCTCTAGGAAAAAAATTAAAAATTAGCCGGGTGTAGTGCTGCACACCTGCAGTCCCAGCTACTCAGGAGACTGAGGCAAGAGGAGTTCTAGGCTGCAGTGAGGTATGATCAGGCCACTTCACTCCAACCTGGATGACAGAGCAAGACCCTGTCTCTAAAAAATAAACAAACAAATAAATAGTTTGCAAATGGACAAAGGGTATCCAGTATAACCCCAAGCTCTCAGTATATCAAACATGGATGAGATATAGCCACAGCCTGGCCTATACAAATGCCTTCAAAAAATCCTCAACAGGGAGTGGGACTAGGTGATTTCCAATGTTCCTTCTAACCCTGGAACACTAGTCTTCATTGGCTAATAATATGTTTAATTATAAGAAGCCAAACTGAAAATAATCAACAAAAGTCTATTTAGGGTGTTTATTTAAAACTTTGCAATGAAGTCAAGGCTAGAACTTTGTTTCATGAGCCACTTTCTTTGTCCTGATTTGAGTGCTTTCATCTGTTTCATTTCCTTCTTTACACTGTCTTGGACTCACTTTCCTGGAGTGCTTTATTTCCCCAGATTCTTAATTTTCAGCTTACTCTACTAAACCACTCTCCTGCCTCCCTAAACTAGTTTGACCCAATCTATGCCCCCGCCTTCTACAGAAATGATGTTGCAGTTTGGTTTTCCACAATCCCTAGCTTTTGCAGATTGCAATCAATGACTAGCTACCCTGTATTTTCTCAATTTTAAGTTTAGCCTTCATTTAAAAAAAGAAAGAAGAGGCTGTGTACAGTGGCTCACACCTGTAATCCTAGCACTCTGGGAGGCCAAGGTGGGAGGATCTCTTGAGATCAGGAGTTCAAGGCCAGCCTGAGCAAGAGCGAGACCCCGTCTCTACAAAAAAATAGAAAAATTAGCTGGGCATAGGGGCACGTGCCTGTAGTCCCAGCTACTCTGGAGGCTGAGGCAGGAGATTGCTTGAGCCTAGGAGTTTGAGTTGCAGTGAGCTATGATGTTACCACTGCATACTCTTGCTGGGCAACAGAGTGAGATTGTGAGATTGAAAGAAAGGAAGAAAGGAAGGAAACAGAGAGAGAAGGAGGGAGGAAGGAAGGATGGGAGGCAGGAAGGAAGAAAGAAGGAAAGAAAAAGAAAGAAAAGAAAGAGAGAAGAAAGAAAACAGATGCTATTTAATCCTTCCAATAAACATTTTGCAAGAGCAATCACTTCATGTCTCCAGTCTACATGGGGGTAGGGGAGAAATAAAGGGCCACCTTACATCATACGGTGGCTAAAAAGAAATACTTTGAGCCATGTCACTGGGGACAGTCCCTGCAAAACCAGAATGTCTAGTCACTTTGACCTACAGCAAAAAGTGTCAAATAACTAGGACAAGTGCTAGTGTAAACAACTGATCAAGTCATTAAACCCTAACATAGCCACTGGGCAAATGGGGCCACATTCAAACCTACCAATCAAAGGCGCAATCTAGCAAAAAGAGAATAGTTGGGTTTTTTCCTTTTCATTTTTAGTTTTCTTTCTTTCTTTTTTCTTTTTCTTTCTCAGAAGGATCTGAGAACAAATAGGTGATGTGGGAGACAGCTCTGGGGGCAATTCTCAAAGCTCCCTGCTTACAAACCGAGCATAATCTTTTCTCCCTAAGTAAGGTACAACCACTCCTCTGCCTCAAGAGCTGCTGCTGCTGCTGGGAGCCAGGATCCTGGCGACTGGTGGGTGAGGCCCTATTTTCAATGTGTTTATGATTTGCACAGCGAAAACGGTAGCATTTCAACGGGCAAAAGAAAATCCTTGGTCAGCAACCTGGCAGCCTTCTAGGCTTCTATCAGAATAGTTGCGCTAAAGAGCTGTTGACAACTTGAGGCTCACCCAGCTGTTCTGGGGAGACAGGTTATCGGCCAGGTAGACCAAAGCAGCAAATAGCTAGCATCTCTGCTGCCAGTGACTCTGTGGCCCTTCCTGTGTTAAGCACTTTACACGTGTTACCTTATTTAATAGTCTCAGCAACCCTAGGAAGAGTTTCTATTAGTATCCGCATCTTTCAAATAAAAAGCTGAGGCACAGAGGTATTAGAAAATTAGCCCAAGTTTACGAAACCAGAAAACTGCCATATCTGGTTGACAACACACCCACTAAACGTTCCTCTTCTGCAACATCTCTGGCCAGACTTCAACTCTTTATCTTCTTTCAGAACAACTGCATCAAAAAGTCCTTGCGTCTAAAACACAACAGTCAAGACCCAATAACATATCCTACATTTATTTGAATAAAGGCATATAATTTTCAAACATTCGTACATCTCTCATTTGATCCCACACACCTTCTGGGGTAGGTAAGACAGGACTATTTATTTTGTTTCTAAAACCTCTTTGAAATTATATTCAGTGACTAAGCATTCCCCATGATTAAACTTTTAGAAGTTTCTTTCAAAACAATAATTGTCAAGACGGAGTAAGTCGACAACTTTACCCATTAGTAGAAGGAAAACAGACACGCCATTTGGTTTGGAGCAATGTCTGAATGTGGGCTGAGAGAAGGAAAGTGCATTATAAAACCACAGGGACAGGAGCCAGCACCACCCCAAGTGGCTTAAAGCCTCTGGGGCACAGGGGATGTTTCTGATGTTTTCTCTGCCTTGTTTCTATAGGCTTTTGGAAACTAGGCCCGAATATAATAAATGCATTTGGAAGATAAAGCATTTGGGAAGAAGACATTTTCCCTAAATTCCCACTCACCTGTTTTTTCCTCCTATCTCTAAGTAGTGGTATAAAAATACAGATCCTGTAGGCACCCAGAGCAGTGATCAAATCTGTGCTCTTCTCCCTCCAGCTGTAGGACCTGTCGCAAGTTACCTCGCCAATCTGAGTCTCAATATTTTCATCTGAAAAATGGAAATATTGGTTGAGGAGATTAAATAAGATAATGTGCATTAAGTGCTTAGCATAGTTCTTGATACTTACTGTGCATTGAAGAACACACTCCTCATTTCTATCTCTGATTAATATTTGCTATACGTGAATTTGTGCATAAGGCATAACTGATAACATGCAATGTTTTGAGACTTTCAAAAAACCTTGATAAAATTCCATACCTGTGGCCTCACTGGGTCACACAGCATCAGGGAACTGACTACCTCACATGTGTTTAAAAATAGGACACAACAGATTGGGATAATCATACACTTCACTGTGTCGAAAATTGCTCACTTTGCGGTTCCCCAGAGATTTGTTCTTTGAACAATCTTGTTTAACATTTTAATAAGTAACCTAAAAAGCAGAGTTTTTTTCAATGCCTGCCAATAACATAAAGAGTTGCTAGGCAGTGAAATTTCTATACTTCTCTCATCATAGAATAGTAACAGTTTACAGACCAGCAGTGGTCCATAAGCCACATTTTGAGTAGTATTGATATGTATTACAATAAGTTAGTTGCTTTTAACAGAGGCAACAGTAAGAAAAGAAGACAAGAAGTTTTTAGCCTATCAAAATGATAAGGCTAAACATCAAGCCTAAGATTTAAGACTTATGAGAGAACTGGTTAAAAGCTTAGTTTTTGAAATCAAGCAAACCTGAAATTGAATCCTGCCACTGGTTAGATTACATGAAGTGGGGCAAATTATTTAACCACTCCATGCCTCTGTTTCCTCACTCAGAGTACCTGCTTCATAGGCTGTAAAGATTATATGAGATAATGCAAATGAAGTCCTTCCTTAGCACTACACCTAAATGTAATGGGTGACCAATAAATGTTAGCAAACGGTGGTGTTGGTAAGAGTGGTTATGAGGTGGTTGTAATGATGGTGGTGATGGTGGCAGTGGTGATAGCAGTCGTAGTGGTGGTTATAAAGATGGTGGTGGTGGTGGTGGCAGGAATGGTGGTTGTAATGATGGTGATGGTGATGGTGGAGTGGTCATAATGATTGATGATGGTGATGGTGATTATAATGATGGTGGTGGTGGGGATGGTGATGGTGGAGTGGTCATAATGATGATGATGATGGTGGTAATGGTGCTGGTAGTAGTGGTTATAATGACTGTGATGGGGGTGGCGGAGTGCTCTCAACCACAAAACCATGACAGCTGTCTGCCAGCAATGCTGTCTCCTTGGCAAATGCCCACTTGCATTTCTACCTGAACTTAAGAAACATCTCTTCTGTGAACCATCTCCTGGTCTCCAACATAGAACTGACCACTTCCAATTTTGTAGCCCCCCTGCTGCTCACATAGATATCCATCCTAATACCTGAAATTCCTCGTTGTATTTTTGTATGTATATGCCTAGCTCCCCTACTAGACTGTAAACTCCTCGAGCGTGGGAAGTTTGTTCATTATTCTTTATAACCCCAGTGCCTAGTATAGCGTCAAGCACATGCAAGTACTTAATAAGTGTTTGGGGAATAAGTGGTGAATGAATAAATAAAATTTCAGTAAAACAATGGGCATTATAAGAAGGGCAATAATACTTCTGCATTTTAAGAAAAATATAAAAGTGGATAAAGTTTAATATACTAAATTTGGAGGGTGAGAAAGAAAGGAAAGGGTGGCAAGGCTTCACTTCTTATGCTCATAGAGGGTACGGATAAGGTAAGCAAGTTCACATTCACACAATAACAGCATTGAAACTCAGGCCTACAGCCTTGAAGCTTGGAAGTTTACTAGGACAATAAAATAAAGTACTGCTTTCAATGTGAATGAATGTGTGAATCTAAGAGGAAATTTAAGCTGAAAAATACAAATGGGCTTTCTAAAAGTTGAAAATGAATTCACTGATGGTTGACCCAAATCCCATTTATATTCTCATTTAATTCAACAAATAATTAAGGAGCACCTACTCATAGTCTCAGGACTGAAATACACAATAGAAAATACAATCCCTGCCCTGAGGACACTTACATTTTAGTGGGACGACAGATGTAAGCAATTATTTATTCAGTTATTCTCAAATCATCTATGGTAAGGAATGCTTTTTTTTAATCATTTCACTTCCGATGTGTCGCAGAGTAATACTTTTGGAAAACACAATGAAAAAAAAAGCTACTTAGAAAAATAAAAGTGTACAAAGACATACAAAATACAAGCTCTAGTTTTTTGTAATTATTAGAGTCAAAAACAAAATCACTGTCAAATTGTTATAACTGTCACTATAATAAATGCTTACCATTGAGTTCTATACTTTTCTCATCATAGAATAGTAACAGTTTACAGACCAGCAGTGGTCCATAAGCCACATTTTGAGTAGTATTGATATGTATTACAATAAGTTAGCTGCTTTTAACAGAGGCAACAGTAAGAAAAGAGGACAAGAAGTTTTTAAGGAAACTTGAATTATTTGGGAACCAAGCCTACTTGATTGATATATTTTTCCCAAACATTACCTATGCCTCAGACTAAAAGACTATTTTTCTCTTCCTCTCCAGGACCTATTTTTTTGAAAATATAGCCTATGTTTGCTGCTTCATCATCATGCCAGAACTATTTCATAGCCTGGAAAAAAATAGAATCACTGCACTTTTTCATACTTCTTTTATAATATTTATAGCCTGCAATGTGAGATTGCTATTTATCTCTTCTTTCCCATTAGATTTGAAGCTCCTCAAGGGCAAGAACTTTATCATACTTACCTTAACATCCTCTACAGTATCTAGTAAAAGTACTTACATGGTAAGTACTCAATTATTGCTTGCAAATGCGTGAAAAAATGAAGTAATGAATGAATAAGTGAACCAGCTATTCAGTGCCTGCAAAAACAGATTCTTGATTTGTTCTATGTTTTAATTTATTTGATATCAAAGGTTAATGCTTCCCTTTAGACTTAAGCTGCTGGAATCACTTAATTTTTCTGTATACTTGGTCCACATGTGAAATTTCAACCAACATCAAATGAAAGTTTGATTAAACAGGCCAGGAACAGTACTTGTGATGGATGTCAATTTCCCCCCAGGGCAGGATGTGGGTCTGGAAACCAGAAGACTGACGAAGCTACAGAGGTGAAAGTTCTCAAAAAGAGCTCATACCCTATGCCCAAAGAAAAACGATGCGTACTTCCCCTCCAGAAAAGAAACAAGTTCAGAGACACAGAGGTGTTTGGATCAAGTCGTCAGATTTTGAGCCTGTCCTTCTTTCTCTCATACGTCCCACCTCCTTTTCATTATTGCATCCACTCTCCATCATAATGGGAAAAAATGGAGAATTCAGTGGTATCTCAAAAATATTTCCAACCTAGGGAGGCAAAAGGACAAAACAGTTTCAGCTTCCAGGATTAGTGTAGCTCCTCAAAAGCTCTTGCTGCCCTTGAAGCTGGTTTCCTGGAGCAGTGAAGATTCCCGGGATTCTGCAAGCAGCTAGAATTATCTGGTGAGTGATCAGAAGGCTCCTGGGAGGAGGCCCAGCTGGGATTCCTTCCAAACCGTATCTGCACCACCTGTAACTCTTTAATACATTTGCTTGCCAGAAGATCGTCCTGAGCCTGGGGGGATGGGGAGAGCTGCCATTCCAGAAAGAACCACCAGCCGGCTTTGGCAGCAGAAGGGCGTCCTTGTGCATTGAGAAGGAGGCAGGACTGCCAGCTAAGGGCACCTCGCCAGCCCTGGTATGCAGACCCAGGACCTGTGCCCACTCAGCCTGCCCCAACTTGCCCAGGGGAGAGAGAGGCCAGGGAAAGATGGGAAAGGTGTTCATTCCCCACCTCCTTCCAGTTCCAGCCAGTTCCAGTCTCCTTTGAAGTCCTGGGCCAGGAGGCATGGCTAGCACTAGTGCTGGGGTTTTTTCAGTAAGCCTCTGGGATTCAGGTTCTTTCTCTCGCTCTGGAAGGCAGACCAACATAAATCAAAAAGCATGGACTTTGGAAGCAGATAAACCTTGATTCAAATCCTGGCTGGGCCATGCACTGGGTTATAAACCCAAGGAAATTATTCAACTTCTCTTAACCTTGGAGTTCTTATTTGTGAAATAGCATTAATCTAACCCAGAGTTTCTCAACCTTAGCACTATTGACATTTTAGACTCGATACTTTTTTGTGGGAGTGGGCTGGGGGGGGAGGGTGGACGCTGTCCTGTGCATTATAAAAGGTTTAGAAGCATCTCTTGCCTACCCACCAGACGCCAGTAGCACTGTCCTCCTCCCAGTTGTGACAACCAAAAGAACCAATTCTCTGGCTAATATCCTCGCGGCAGTAGGGCAGGGTGGAGACTAAATTGCCCCCAGTTGAGAACCACTAACCTAACCTAATCCTTAGGATTGTTTTTTTATACATATTCTTGCAAATCTAGAGAGTCCACTACCTATGCATGAATGAAAGAAAACCACCCAAGACTTAGTAACTCCTGTAGCAGATGCTAGTCCTGCCCCACACACGTCCCCTCGGCTTCCACCTCCACACACTGATGGCCACTGCCCATGGACACTGGGGCTCTCCGGCCTCAGGACTACACATGGACAGCACAAAGCAAGTTGGAAGTCGATGCCCTGGGAATTAACCTTACCCACTGACAGACAATAAGTTGGATAAATACCCCAACTTCCGAGACCCTTAGTTGAGATCATTCTACACTGTCTCCCCGAAATCCCCAGTGAGATGGGACTTTATTGCCCACAGGGGTAACTGGCTGTACGACACACCACCTTCCCTGTCTTTTTCCTGCTCCCCCGCAGGTATTTCCCAGGATTACTTCCCAAACTCTTTTCACAACTTCATCTTTCATGTGTTTCTTTTAGTAACCCATTATGTAAAAATGATGCCTTGTATTTCTGTAAATGTCCTACCTGTTGACTCATTGGGCTTCTACTTAGTATATTCCAAGGTTATGGTATTTCTGAATTTTTTTTAAGTACTGTAAATAAGCTATTGTTCTGCTCTGAGGACTGCTGAAAATTATGATCAACACATCCCCTAGGGTCTCAATGCAAGTAGAAAATAAGAGTCTAGGATGCTCACTTCCCATTCAGCTATAGGCCCAATCTATCTCCAACATTATTGCCACACAGCTTCCTTCTAAAATGTACATCAGATCATGTCTGACATGAAGCCAGTGGTCTTGTCCATTGCTGTCACCTCAGTCCCTAAGACTACACCTGGAACATGGTAGGTACCTGGTAATATTTGTTGAATTACTGAGTGGATATCCTTCTCATGCTTAAAATCTTTAGATGCTTTCCCGTGTTATCAGTAAAGAATAAAGATCAAACTCCTACAAATGGTACATAGGCAGACTTATGTACCATTTCATGACTTGGTCTCTGCTTCCAACTTCATCTCTCACCACTTACACATTCTATCTTACTCCACAACACACACAGGCAACCTGCACGTTAACCATCCGTACAATTTATGGTTCCTGGAACGGTGTGTCCTTTTTATGGCTGTGCTTTTGCATATGTTTCCCCCTTAACTTGGGATGTCTCTTTTGGGTCTTTTTCCTGTTGATGCCAGCAGGTTCCTCAAGAGGCTGCTCACTCTGACTTCCTCTGGATGATCTACCCTGAGCTTTAAGATAATCTTTTTCTGCTCCCATTGCACTATTGTAATTTGGGGTTTGCTTAATAATCTGCCCCACCAGAGAGAGAAAGAGTGCCTGGAAGTAAGGGGTTATGTCTTTGATTTTTAGGTATCCCTGATGCTCGACACATTTTAGGTACTCAGAAAATGAATGCTTGTGCATTCATGCAAGGCCTTGATTGTTCTCTGTAGTAAGACTTTGAAGAGGCTTTAGTATGTTATCCTCATTCCCCTAACTCAGCAACTGACTTATGAATATTGGTGAATCCCAGGGATTCCCTGACTACTAACCAACTTCAGAAAGACAAAGCACAGGTACATGAACCACATTGTCTAAGCTTCCTACTCGTATGCTTCGGCTGTACTAATGATGGGAAGAAGCTAGTGCCTTGGCCAAGGAATAATGTGACCTGCCACCTGAGCCAGCCTCAGTATATGAAAACAAACTCCTCCCACGTTGCGCAACCAGGTGGGTGGCTGTCATGAGAACCCAGAGAAGCTGTTTGGAAGTGGTGCTCTTCATTGAGCTCAGCTCTTTCAAGCCAGAACAGCTTCGAGATAGAATGTTTATAAATTCAACATTAGGCCTTAAATCTTGGAGCTGTGCTTAGTACTAGTGAGCTGGTTTTATGCAAATGGAGAGTAGAAAACAAAAGAAGATGTGCTTGTTCTGCTCTAAAGGCCCAATTAATTCTACATCTAAATCATCTTCAGAGAGAAGGATCTAGCTAGGACACAAAGACCCCTCCTCACTTCCCCACCCTTCTTTAACTTCTACCCTTCCCCAAGCAACATATGCTGAAAAGCCCCAGACATTTCCTTTCCAAAACAACCTTGAGACTTGGATAAAATCTAATCCTGTGGAAAAAAAAAAGAAATTATATCAGCAGCGAAGAACATAGGAAGGAAGAGTTTTCATTGTATTGATTCAATCAAGCAACCAGCGAGCAGCAAGCATTGACTTACATGAACAGCTCGGGCATCAGGACAAGATTGTTTGCTTTTGAAAAGTGACAATATTTATAAGGTACATTGCCTTCCAAGACAAAGTGTCTTGTCAAATGCTGAACATGATATCTGAAAAGTAATAGATGTTCATATGATACTAAATCTTCTGTATCCTGTCCATGAGGAAACATTAATTGAAATCTCTGAGCTAAGAATCAACCAATGTCCATTTTCAACAAACTAGAGAACACAGGACCACTATGTCCTATGTCTACTAGGACCACTGGCAACTTTTTATAAGTTCCCACTTCCTAATCTGTGAATACCTTATCGATGTCCTATTTATTTCACAAAGAGAGTCATTATACCACTAGGTAATTATCCTCAGTTCTCCAAGCTCTTCAGTCACTAGACCATCCATATCCCCATATAGAAACCTGAATGAAATATGAAGCTTGTCTTTTTCTTCCTGTGTTTCTAAAAATAGTTTCCACTTGACAGTACATGACGATATATGCCATCACAACCACATGTAAGGAATATGATCTGAATGGCACAGTGGA